TGATTTGTTTTTTGTTTTCTTAGTAACCAAATACAGTAGGGTCAGAAGGCATAGGTGCGGTCCGCAGCGACTGACAACATTTAAGGCGTGACACCATGACGAAACATTGTACAATTTAAAAAAAACTGTTCGTGATTTATTTAGATCTGTCTTTTCTCCTACATTCCCCACTATCACCACTGTCCAGCCACTTTAGGTGAATTATCCTACCCAGCGTATTCCTAGGTGTGACATTAATGTCGCTCTACACAATTTTGGTGGTAAGGTGGGGATGGGGGGGGGGGGGGGAGGGAGTGGGGAGTGGAGAAGTACCAACTCAGAGTGAAAATAGCGTCAGTTTTTTAGATGACTGTTCTAAACATACATATACAATTGTACATATATACTAATTCAGAAATAGATTTAAATAACAAACAGTGGTATTATGACAGTAAAAAATATTTTACAGAGGGGTCTTTGGAGGGGGGAGGGCAGAGTTTCTTCCAGGCATCTCTTCGGGGGTGGCTCAGAAGAAAGTCTACCGCATCCCGAACGAAATGAAATTTATATAGAAAATATATATTTTTAACAAAGTCCCCCCCCCCCCCCCCCCTGAAGAAAGTCTACCGCACACTCCCACCCCCCCCCCCTAAATTTCAAGTGCCCCCCCCCCCCCGGAGAAAAAAGTCTGGAAGAAACACGGTGGGTGTAACCCCCACCTGCATACGCCACTGTGATATGGTATATAGTTGGATTATTAATTTGTTAGAATAAGGAAATAAAAGTGACATACAAGAGCAAAAAAAAAATCAATCAGATGTGTGGTTTAATATTTATTTACGCTTGAGTGAGAATATGTTTAAATTTATTGCAATAGCCTAAATTCATTTCTCAACGCTAAATGTATTATCATACACATGTATTAAAAGTAGGTTTAAACAATATTTAGAGTTAATCACTTGACATTTTCTATTGACAATGTTTGATTAATCACTAATTTTTATTGTAAATATACATTTAATTTCGAAACCACACTATCGTAAACCTGCCGTTACCCATAAAATAACACACAAGTGAAAATCTAATAAAGGTTTTGTAGTGCATTTCCGTTGCTATAGCGATATTAATAATAATACAATTTTAATTCGACAGCATTGAAATTTGTATTATGAATCATTGGCTGCCATACTGTTTTACATAACCCTGCATTTACACATTGTGTAAAATAACATATCTGCTCGCCTAAAATTGATTTTTTTTCCTAAGCACAAGTTTAATTGAGGAATCTTTGTGGAATTCATTGTTTGGAATAAAAATTCGATACAAAATGTTACAGATAGTAAAAAAACTTTACAAGATTAAAAAAAAAACTTTATAAGTCCATTGGTGTACTTCAGTGCAAGCAAATAATTGCCCTATGAAAAGATGTACAGTGTTGGTTTTGTTCCAACCCTCGGGCAGATGAAGCTCGTTAGCTGGGGACAAGCACTCTTCTAGGAGAGGCGACTCCAAAATCAAACAACCTCTGCCTTGTAGTTTGTTCTTAGTTTGAGGCAAATCCAAAAAGAAAAGTAGGTAGAAATCGGTGTCAATAGCCTAGATGGCGCATAACCAGTTGACACGTATCCTTAATAGTGTCGGCAAAGCTCATGAGGTTGTTGTGACGGTAAAACCGTTTAGGCCTAGCTCCACGTTTTTCTTACACCACCCTCTACCTGCTCTATTACTCCCCCCCCCTCTCTACTGCTACGTACAACCATATATTTTGTCCCCCTCACAGGCTCCTCTCTAGTTGGCTAGATTGTTCACGTGACACACCGCCAATGTTTTAATGCATATAAGGGGATGCAACAAAGACATCTCGCACTCTTCCAGCACTGAGCTCAGCTGGTGGTGTCGCACGCGGCATTGGGGCCGTCGGCCCGACCTCTACGTGTTTTGGGTTTGGTTTTACTTTATTATTTCTTATGTTTACTTTACCAATTTTTTTATATGCATAGTTTATTATCATTGTAACAACTATTTTCAATAAATACCATATATATTATCTTGCTGTTATGCATTATTACTTAAACACTTTACACTGTTACCCTGTTCGTGGCTTAGTCCATGTGACAGTGATAACTTACCTGATCTACGTAACTAAACTTTACACTGTTCGTGTCTTAGCACACAGGGCATTTGAATTCTTATTTGACCTAAGCTATTCCTGCCTGTGACGTAATTCCACGTGGCAGTTGAGTAGATATTTCAGTACCTTTTGTCCTACTTTTATCCTGCACGTGTGTCAGCCACGGAGCAGTAGATATTATATTATACACAGCCTCATTCTGTTTTACTACAGGCCGTAAACTGCGGGCATTGAGTTGACCCGTAGTCATCGGACCTGATATTTTATTTTATACACCGGCCCTAAACCCTTGCCAGAGACAAGAGGTCATCGGACCAGGTGAGAAATTATTATTCTACTAAGGCTGTAAACTTAGGGCATTGAATTGACCCTTAGTCATCAGACCTTAATGATATTACCTCTAGTAAAACTATACTAGAATCTATATTCCCGGTAACGAAGCGGTACAGACCCTCTTACCGGTTGAATACCAGCATTTTACTGATTATACCAATTAATACGGTACCAATTTTACCGTTAACAGTTGTTAAATTCGAAAAAATCTCGAGTTCAAACCCTCTGGCAGATAAGGCTCAATCCCTTCCAACACTAAAAACTAAGAACAAAGAGAAAGAGAAGAGAAAAAGCTAGTTTTGTGTTCTCAAAATATACATATTAATATTATTAAGCTGGTACTTAATAATATGAGTATTGCCTTGTCAAACTTTCAACAGAAAATTGTGTACATCGCCCGCATTAGTCAACTCACAGCATAAATATAATTAATTCAATCAAATAGAGATGTTGATGTAATATTTGGGGCTCACAGTCACCACCTAGGTATAGGATGACACGGCTAACAGTTGAGCGCTCTATCTACTGCTGGAGATGCTGACTTGTGACGGATTCTGGTGAACAGATGACGCCAACTCGTACTTTTCGCTCACTAGTACGGACACGACCCCCCTCCCCCACGTACCTGACATCATAATTCACTTTCTTGTACATCTGTGTTGACCATACATTGAGTGGTGTAAGTTAAACTAGTTAATCAGTTTCTAAGCCCGAGTTAGACAGGCACATTTTGATACTCAAAAAACTGTTTCATCAAGAAGGTTTCAATATTTTACGTCATTGCTGTAAACGTTCAATAAAACAAATCTACAACTGTCGCTGTTGAGGGACTCTACTTCATCTGTCAATTTATTTCGCACTATTATAAACTTTTTTCTCCTAACAATAAAGGAGTTGCTTACATTTCAGAAACTAATGTAGGCCAAAGGCTAAAACATAGGAAAGTGACATAAAAAGCAACAACCGAATCTTGGTTCTAAAATTGACGGAATTTTATCCCAGAATGAGGACTATCATTCAAATATTTTATTAGCGTTTTCTTAAATTTTGTATTTTGGAGCTGGCGGATGAATAAGAATTTTTTTATTGTGAAATACGAAAGTTAAATTTAATTAAACAGGGACACAACTAAGTATATACTTATTATTCAATTTTTATTTCATTGTTACTTCCCTTAGACTATAAAATAGTTTATTCCAATTTAGTGATCGTACTATTGCTTAGCTTTGTGCAAGAACGTTTTTTTTTCATAAACTTGTTTTATTGGTTTAATCAAATTATTTAACTGAGTGTATTGTTAAGAAAACGCTATAGTCCCTAATTCATTAGCATGCTATCATGAAAAAGTATCGATATTCGATCCTAAGTAGGATTGGTGTAACGGTTTTGCTAGACTTTGTTATATATTATGTTTAAATTGACCAGTAACTTTAAAGTAAAGCTAACTTGCATATCATGCGGTCAATTCAGAAGAGAAAGTAGAGTTCATGTGTTGGTGTAATACGTCGATCAGTCTACACGGAACACCCAGCCGAATTATGTTTCTCCAAACATGTCCAGGTACACATCAGATCTGTGCACCAAGAAAGGTAATCGAACATGGGAATCAAACTCGTGTCCTTGGTGACAAAATGCGTCTGCTCTTTTACTCGACCATGCCGTCCCATTTCTCCAGTTGCTTATTAACGCCCTGCTTTACAGTTTTCATGTTTGATAACTTTGATTCAATGTTTTAAAGTCACACTAGTTGTTCTATCACTACCGATCTATCAAACTTACAAAAGTTGTTTTATAATATCACAATTTATTCAAGGATTTCTAGTCAATTGGAATGACAACATTGTTTACACAAAGGTCAGTCAATGACAGCATCAAACTATGATTTAACATTACATTTCTATTGCAGCAGGCGTTGAAGCGATGAAGTATCTAACTATAGTATACGATGTGTCAAATATTTTTAAATGATTAGAATTCCAAATTTTCTAATTTTCTCATTTCAATTAGTCTTACCTGTGCATTAGGCCTAAAAAAACGGACATTGTTGTAAAGTTTAAGCTTACAACCCTTGACAGCCTGGTGCGAACATCGACATCACAACATGCGCTGTTTGACAACAACTTAACCACCAACAGACAACAAAGATTAAAATAACAACAGTAGAAAGATATTTTATTTTACCATTTAATGTCGTTTAGTGTGAACATTGAATATGACATTTACAAAGGTAGGTTACATTTAATTTACAGGTAATAGTCCACAGTAATAGCCAGCCTATAGGTATATGACACTATATGACAACAATTTGCCGACAAAAGTTATAAGAAAAATATTTACAACTTTTGAAACAATAAAACCTCTATAATCCACCAATGTACATGTAAATTAATTCGGTTAAACGGTTTACATCAATCAAAACATTTGTTTTAATCATTTAAACGTAATAAAATGTTGAAAAGACATGCAGGTCTTAACACAAACAGTTTAATGACGGGAAAGGTTCCGCCATTTTGTTTGTTTACATTGTGTAGACAAGGGGAGAGAACCAACAGTTATATCAGTCCATATACTCCCCACTATAATTTCCTTCAGAGTTTGATCCACTGTGGGGATGGAGATACCACCTGTCATATCCCAGCTTGTAGATAGGCGCTCCACTGGAGCCAGGACATGTACATGTTGTGTACCAGTACCTGGTCCAGTTTAACAGTTTATCATTCCTCTCACGTTTGCGTGTCCATTGTCCTACAGAGACCTGTTTAGGACAGCCATGAGGATGTGACACTATAACGGTCAACTTGTTCACACCAAAAAATCTCCTGTATTTGCCCCATACTTCCCGACATAGATCTTTAAAGCGCCGCCACATCTTGTACAGTTCATCAACCAACTCTAAGTCACATGTCACATAAATCAACTCACACAAGTCTCTCTCAATGTCTGCCCCCAACACCTCCCAGCCATCAAGACTGACCACTGGACTTTTATTGTCATCAAAACCTAAAACACACCTGGTCTGTCTCGCCTCACTGGCATCAAACACCACGTGTGTGGCTGTCCTCACACAAACCTCCCCCCACACTTTGCTGGGTGTGGCAGAGACTTGACACTTGGCACAACGACAAGTTCCCCTTCTATCACTCTCTATGAACTTGAACACACCATACACCCTCCCCGTCCCTAACCTCATCACGTGACTTCCTCTGTCATTATAACATGGATATGGAACTTGAGTGCCTGGATAAAACTCTGGTCTCTCTAGACTGGTGAATTTAGTCTTTACCTGGACAGTTAGGGCTGCCAATGTTTTGATTGTCTTAGACATGAGGTCGTCGTCATGGTAACGTGAGGGGAGACAATTTGAGTTGAAATCTTTAAGAGGTATAAAACCTTTGTGACCTGGATTCTTCATACAGTCAGCCACATGTTTGTGTAGATCAGCTTCTCCTCCATAGCACATCTCAGCTTCATGATTTCCTACAGGAACAAACAACAAATTATTTCTCTAGCAAATGAAATTTTATATTTGATCTTAAAATAACTTTTATTGGAATAAACTATCCAAAAGTCATCTAGATGTTAAACTAGCGCAGATATTAAATTGTTTACATTATATTTTCCTTCTGTTTTAGTATATCTTACCTGGACAGAATACACATGATTCTTCAATCACGTGCTTATTTTGAATTTCACAGCTTGCCATAACTGAAACAACGTATGTGTTTAATGTCTCACTTACAGAAAAGCAGTGTAACAAAAGTAACAAAAGTGCTCATTTAATAATAGCAAAATAATTTTAAGTTTACATACGTATATTTCTACATTTTCACTTTCTACTACATCTTTAATATTCAATCACCCTTTATAATGTGTTGCAAATATTTTTTTTAAACAGCCTATGTGAAAAAAAGCCCCCCCCCCCCTGCCTACTGCTATTGTTTTAAAATAAAGCTATGATTATTATGACATTTATTGTAACAGTACACACATATTTTAACTTACAGCTTGATAAGCAATATGGGATGATTTAAGAACTGTAAAACAAATTACCTGACCATTTTAAAGTGAATTTAAATAAACTTTTTCCTTACCTGAACTTGGTGACCCCTGTTTTCTTTTTGGCTTTGTGTAGGAATTGCCCATGTCCAATACTGCTGTAACATAACATGAGTAACATTATATACCAGTGATAATCTTAAAAATTATATAAACATCTTAAGATTTGTATTTAATTCTAAACAAAATTATACTATAGAAAATTGAAAATGGTTAAATTAGCAAAATAGGTAATAACTTTAGACTTTATAGTATCAAATATATACTAAGCAGTCTACATAAAAAATATAATAATGTAAATAACAATACTTATTTCTTCTTGTCTAACAAATAAAAAAATGTAAGTTTATACATTTTTGAACACTTACAATTTGGAGACTATTAAATGATTTGGCTTGAACCTTGACGACACACACCTTTCTGTTCTCAAGTATATGTTGTTAGAATGAACAGATAGCTGTCAGACCTTGAAATCATGCTCTGAAATAATACAATATAGTATAACAACATGTCATATAATACATATATACCATATAATTATAATATAATTAATTTTTACTCTTTATTGATAACAGAGTGGTGATGAAGGAAATTTTTTGCTAATTTTTGTTATACAAATATATTACCATGTAAGCTAAGTAGGCCTACTTTAGTTTGTTTAAAATTTAATGTTTTACCAAAGATGAGTTTAAATTTAAATAAATTAACTTATGTACCTTTATCAACATTTTTTTTTAATTCAAAGAATTAAATATAGCTTACAATATTTACACAGTTCAACCACTTTTATGTTGTCCTTTTATGTTAAATACAACATCTTTTCTTGCTAAGACAGAATGGCATTTGAACACACAGCAGCCGTCAAAACTTCAACACCTGAAATCATACAATTAAGGTTAGATAAACACAGAAATCCTTAAAACTTTTAAGGTATTATAAAGTCATGCTTGCGATTGTGTTAATACATTCAGCACCCTTTACTACAAGTAGGTCCTCCATTATATTTCAATCAAGGGCGTAGCGAGGGGGGGGGGTGCGGAACGCAGCGGGTGACACCATTTAGGGGGGTGACACCAAGGCAAAAAGTAGCAAAAAACATAAAGAAAAACTTGAGGGGGGGTGCAAGTCGAAAGTTTGAGGGGGGGTGCAAATCAAAAACTTGAAAGTTTCTCCCCAGGAAGGGCCACAACGCCTCTAGAGGGGTGACACCATTAAGTGCCGCACCGGGTGAAACCCGACCTTGCTACGCCACTGATTTCAATGACTGTAAGATATTTAATCACAGCCTAAGCTCTAGGCTGCTAACCCAAGTCAAGAGAAGGCCTAGATCTAGAATTTTAAAAAGTTTTCTTTAAACTAGAGCTAGTGTGTGGTAACATATAAATAACTTTTTAAAACTATTCTAACCGTCCATCAACTCTAACCCTATGTCAGTCTAGAACTCTATGACCCTAGAAGAATGGTTACCACTTCACTAATTTAGCCATGGATTTGAATATAGATCTAGACAGACTATGGGGAAACTAGTCTAGTTTTTAAGAGCTAGAAATCTAGATCTAGTCTACCTTGACTAGTCTAGAAAACTCTAGAATTCAAGATCTACATTCTAGACTTACTGAATTTTAAATCTACTAGTTACCAGATTTCTAGATCTAGATCTCTAGTAGATTCTAAATACTAGACTAGATCTAGATCTACCTACTACTAGATCTAGAATTAGAGTCTACTTCACTACTAGATCTAGAGTCTAGATTGTGAACTAGATCAAGATCTAGAGTTCTTTGCCGATCTGCACTATGCCCAATGCCGCAGTCACTCTCCAGTTTTCGGCCTAGTAGACTAGATTCTAGATCTATAGATAATCTAGATCTAGATCTAGATCTAGCTACTTTCTTTTGATGTTTTATGCAAATCCGCAGTGTTTTATATTAGATCTAGTAACTATTAGACCTAGTATGAGATAATTAGAGTCAAGTCTAGATTTTAAATGTGGAGAGTAGAGAGCGAAAGATCTAGATCTATCAAGATCCAGAAGAATATTATATAGATCTAGGCTTATAATATATACGATTATATAGGGCCTAGGGCCTAGGGTCTATATTATTATTACTCTATATAATAGTCTATAGTCTATATATAATCATAAGAATATAAATATAAGATCTAGAATCTAGATTTTTTCTAGTCTAGATAAAAACCTAGATCTAGATCTCTAGATCTTATAGAATATATCTAATCTAGATCTACTGATCTAGATCTAGTTAGATCTAGAATTCTAGATCTAGATCATAACTCGGGTGTTGGGAAATTGCGAGACGCGAAAAGCGAAATGCCGAGGCGGGAAAATGCGAGAAGATAATGCGAGACATACCTGCGGAATCAAGGGTAAATAGCGAGACACCTTTTTTGAAAACAAGTTTTTTGTTCATCTTTATTTAGTTACATTTAAAAAAAAAATAAACAAGCATGTAGCCATACCCTTTAACACGAGTGTTGTATGTTGATATTTTTTATCTAGATTTTATTATATAGATAGATACAAAGAAGATAGATATATCTATATCTAGATCTATCTATTTAAAAATCTTAACATCGTTGCTGTGCTATTGTCATCGCCCGCTCTCGTTAGCGAGAGGAAAATCCCGTCTCAGTCGACATTAATTTTAAAAATCTAGCCCGCTCATGTTTATACAAACGTGAGCTGTGTCATTGTGGATTGGTATAATCTTGTAAGCAGGAGAGATATTCTGCAACATGTATTTATGGATTTTGTACTTGCAAAAAGTGTAAAAGTATAAACACTTCTAAAGTGTAATTTATTTTTTATTAAGTAATTTTAATTACAAACAAAATTTACAAACAAAATCTTCTGAAACAGTCCTAGCACTACTCAAACACACCTCGTTACACCATCTTTCACACATAGTACATCCAACCCAGTTCCTTAGACTCCCATTTATACTGTGCTAACACAGAACACGAATATGAACAGGATGAAAAAAAAATGTGCGCCTGTAGATAATCTGAATAAAGTCCGCTATCTACAAAACTACCATGTAAAAGCTAAAAGGGGTCATCCATAAATGACGTCACGCTTTTTTACGAGTTTTACACCTCCGTCACACATTTTCACAAAAATCCAGACCCCCCCCCACTAAAATGACGTCACACCTCAGCCTACAACCCCCCCTCAACATTGCAGTTGAAATTTTTTTTACATCGATATTTTTCCAAAATCTTGTCTAATTTCTATCAAAATAGAGCATTTAATCAATTACTATTACCATTTTTAAAAACAGTTTTCTAAAACGCGAAATAACGTCTAAAATTCTTTTTCTAACATGCTTTTTTATAGTGTGACGTCACAACATCTACCCCCCTCCACCCTCCCCTCATCACACATTTCTATACAACAATACAAAATACGTTTGCGGCGGCAGCGGATTCGGGCACGGTGATCTTCAAAGACGGTAAATCAGGTGGCCTTGGAGTTCCACACAAAAAACAGAAGTTGATCTATCGTCGGCGGTATTTCCGTCGCTTTCGAACAAGGGGGGAGTTGACAAATCATCAGTATGTCTAGCGACGGAAAAATCGGAAGTTTTAACAATGTAAACGAAACGTCTTTGAAGTCTGGACCAAATGCCACTGAAAATCGGGTGCGGTAAATTTTTCGCAGAAATCTTCGCATTTCAACACCACCCAGCGTAAGTATCGGGTTGTGGTAAAATGCGAGACAAAAAGTCACGTGACCGACCGTTTTTGCGCCCTTCTCGCATTTTCCCGCCTCGCTATTTCGCGTCTCGCAATTTCCCCACACCCTCATAACTCATCATAAAGTAAGTTCAACATTAGGCCTACTTAAATTTTAAAATTAGATTTAAGATTTTCTAGATATCTAGATCTAGATCTAAAATAGATCTAGATTTCTAGATCTTAACTTAGATCTAAATCTAGACTAGATTCTAGATTGTCTAGATTTAGATTAGATAGATCTAGATCTAGACTAGTTACTTTTTAGTTAGTAAATCTAGATCTAGATCTAGAATCTTTATCTAGACATCTAGATCTAGATCTAGATCTAGGCCTATATCTATTTAATTAATTAATTAACAGGTTTCATGCTAGGCCTACGTACTCCAAGTACCGGTTAGCTAATGGAAGGAAGCAAAATGATCGTCTGCTGCATAACTAGTTTTGCTTTTAAAAGTATCGATATCATAATTTAGCATTGAGTATGCCATTTAGGCCTTGAGTTAGTAGAAATAAGGCAATATACAAAATACAATGCATGTATTATTTCGTTAACAAGTTAAGAATTTTAAAGTTAAAATCAGCATATAAAAAAGTCATTTTCCATTTAAATTTCAACCTATTGTAGAGCCATTATGCATCTTGATATAAGTAGAATGTTTAATTATTTTAATTATGGATATGTTCCACATTTGCATACATAAATACTATATCTTAATAGTCACTCACCCCCCCCCCCCCCACTACCCTCCTAAGCACGTCTACCGTCCCCTTAAGCGAAATATAATTTAGGGACACCAACAGTTTGTATAGTTCTATGTTGATTTGAAAAGCGATCCTTACAAAATGCTATTGTTAGTACCACATAAGTTTGAAATCTGCAGTTTTCCCGAACTTATAGATTTTGTCTAAATCGTATAATAAATACTAGGAGACAAAGAGTGTAGTGTAGGAAACAGAGTGTAGGTGATACTAGCAGACATAGAATGTAGTATAATAGTAGGAGACAACGAGTGTAGGTTATACTAGGGAGTGTAGGTGATACTAGCAGAGTGTAGGTTATACTAGGGAGTGTAGGTGATACTAGCAGAGTGTAGGTTATACTAGCAGACAAATAGTGTAGATGATACTAGCAGAGTGTAGGTGATATTACCAGAGTGTAGATGATACTAGTAGAATGTAGGTGATACTAGCAGAGTGTAGGTGATACTAACAGAGTGTAGGTGATACTAGCAGACAAAGAGTGTAGGTGATACTAGCAGATATGGAGTTCGGGTGACGGTAGTTTACAAGCAGTCAAGAATTTTGTTTTAGTTGTGTTATCATCTGTAATCTATTCTGTAACGCTATTATACAATTGTATCGCAACTGTTGATTACTTCCATCCTGCTCACATTTATTTCAGCGCCTCTGGTTTATATAGCGGTAATTTACTTAAATCAGTGTTTTGATCTATTAAAAAACAAGTGTATTGAATCAACAGTTGATTCTCAAATTAGCCACTGAATACTCATTCGATATTGTATACGACTACCCGACAAGTTCCTACTCAAGACTATGTAGTAGATATTATAAGTATACGATAGCTAGCGCCCACCCCGCACATTGGAAAATAACATCTATACTCCATTAACTTTTTAAAAACTTATTTTTCAACAAGTCTAAGTGTTAAAAAAACGTATAACAAAACCGCTTTTAAGTCTGCCTTTAAAAGTAATAAAAATATCATACATTGTGTTTAGATTTAATATTCAAAATTAAAGTATTAAAGATTTTGAAATCTTTTCATACGTTCTCAACGAGCTATTTTAATTTTACAGTTATAATTAATGTCAAACAATTGATTGTTGTGTGATTGAAAAGGCATTGGATTTCTTTAGTTTTATATTTGGGTATTTCATTTAAAGAAAGATAATGATTAAAATCAATCGCATTTTAAATATTTGTATTGTTGCTTTCAGTTTGGCCGTAAAAATGTCAATGCGATGGTAACATTTTATTATAACTTGGTTAAGCGATAATACAGTAAGAAGAAGACATTCGGAAAGGAAGCCAGTATAAATCACATATGTAGGCCTCTATAATACGCTTAACCTCGGATAAGTAGAAAGTTAGGAGTATTTG